GAAGGATCCAGTCCCCAGCCCTCTCACTATAGAGGGATCTAGCCCCCGGACCCCTCCATATAGAAGGCCCAGCCCCGCCCCGGCCTCACCTGGCCCGTCCTTGGCCACGGCGGGCGGCGCCTCGGCCCGCAGGCAGGGCCGGCACACGGAGTGCAGGCAGGGCAGCAGCCGCGGCTCCCGCTCGGCCCGCAGCCGCTCCCGGCACACGCCGCAGCGCTCCAGCAGGTCCAGGGAGTCGAGGCGCCCCTCGCCGGGGCCGCCCGGCTCGGACACCGGCCCTGACATGGCGCCCCCCCGGCCCCGGCTCCCACCTCCGTCAGCCCCCTCAGCTCCGGAGCGACTGCGGGACGGCTGCGCGCGCAGCACCCTGGAGACGGGTGCCCGCCAATCAGCGCCCGCGGAGGGCCCAGGGGGCGGGGACAGGGGGTGAGTGACGGCGGGATGCAGCAATAGGAAGCGGCTATTCGTGGGGAGGGTGGGAATACGGAGAGAGGGCAGGGATGGAACGCCCGTACSTGAGAGCGGGTAGGCGGGGTTAAAGGGAGACGGGCCAATCATCTCGCTGATTGGCGATCTGACATCCAATAGGCGCCTGGAAATTGTRGATTGACAGAGGGCGGAAGCCAATCCTCTTCCTCTAAGCACCTCCTCCGAGTAGGCACCGACGGGGAAGGCTTTCCCAAAGCCCGGATAGCGGGCATGCTCTGGACCAATCACCGACCGAGTTACCACAGAGGGAGGCGGTGCTTTAAAGATGAACGTGGCCCTCAACCAATTGACATCCGCTGTGCCGGGGATGAGCGCGGAGATGCTCTGATTGACAGCGTGCTGGGCCAATCGTCTTCAGAAATGCCTCAAGGAGGCCCTCCCTCTCTCCCCAATGCGGAGTCGCTCCGTTTCGCCCCTAGCGGCCGGGCTGGGGTAATGGCGGGGTTGGGTCCAGGGCTGCTGGAGACCGGGGGAGGCAAAAAGGGGTCACAATAGCAGGGCTCTCACCGGGGGAGCCTGGATGTGGGTTTGGCCAGTGATCCGTGTGGGATGTGGGGCTGGGGCTGGCTCTGATCTGGGATTTGGGCCTGGAAAGGGATCCACACCTGGAGCCTAGTTATGGATACAGAGCTGAGCGTTGGCCCAGGCGTGGGCCTGGGTCTGGGCCTCATTCAGGGCTTTGTCCTGGACCTGGATGTGGCTTTAGACCCAACTCGGAGCTTGGCCTTGGGCTGGGGTGGGAGTCCAGGTGCCCTGCGTCATCCCCAAACGAGCGCCCTCTCCCTTGGACACCCGCTTGGGCACCAAGGAGCCCCAGGACGCGGTTGGGACAAGCCCCGCGCAGCTCCCGGCTGCCCATTCCTGCCCCAGCAACCCCGAGAGGCAGCTAGACCGGGGCAAACAGGCTCCCTCTGGCTTTATTCCCTACCGCGACCCCCACCAGCTCCTTCTGCCCGCCTAATCCTGCCCCGCATTTGCTTCTCCAGCACCTCCTTTCACCCACAGAGAAGAAATGGGGGTTTCGAAGGGAGTTTGGAGTCCTCAAAGCTGCTCCTTGCCGCTCTCAGCGGCATTTGCAGCTCCCAAGGGCTGAGCAAAGGGCCAAGCGCAGATCCAAGGCCTGTCCCAAGGAGGAGAGCGAAGGCTGAGCCGTCGTTTGCAGAGACAGAAGGGAGACAAAAAGCCCGGACTAAAGATAAGAACACTGAAAATCCACATGGAAAATTCACATTAAAAAAAAAAAAAAAAAGAATAAACACAAAACCCACCAAAACCCGGCTCAGGAAAGGACTATTTTGGGAAAGAGCCAAAAAAGCTCAGGAAAGCACCATCTGCCGCAACGTAGGAACTTGGCTCCGAGGAGATGCAGTGGGGCAGAGCCCCCTCCGCCACGGCGCCGGCTCGGCCTGGAAAACCACGGAGGCGGCTCCGTCTTAGAGAAGTCCATTGCCTCCCGGTGTCCTGGGCAGCTCCGACCTGCTCGTCCTTGGGACAAGAAGCGACGTCTGGGCCGATGCCTGAGGTTGTCTCCCTGCGGCAGGGCTGGAGAAGGAGCCGGAGGCCTTCGGAGAGGCTGGATGCCATCAGCCCTGGTAGGGGCTGCTAAATTTGGGCGYCGCGACACCATCAGCGTCTGCTAAATGAGGAGTTTGGGCGCCGCGACAGGAGAAAAGAGCGGGAGGCTCCAAGTTTCGCCTCGATCCCATTGCTCTTGCGAGACGGAGTCTTTATGGAAGGAAAATGGGGGGTTTTCTTCAACGCCGGAGCCCAGGGATGAGTCCGGTGCCTTCCTGCAGCAGCCGGAGTGGGGAAAAACGGCGCGAGCCGCCTCGGATGGAGGCAACAGTCCCTGGAGCCGCGTCGGGAAAGGCTCCCGCGGCTACGCGCGGTGCGTGCGCTGGTGCCGCCGGAGGTGCGCGGCGGCGGCGAAGGCCTTGCCGCAGCCGGGGCACTTGTGTGGCCGCTCGCCCGTGTGCGTGGCGCGGTGTCGGGCCACGTGGGCGGCGCGCGCGAAGCGCTTGCCGCAGT